TATAATATAAAATTATATAGATTCTAACGATAAATTTTGCGGAATTATGTTTAAAATTAATTTTTTTGTTTTAAAAGATAATGAAGACGAATCAGAAGCCAGTGCTGAAATTACAGATATAGTGAAATAATCTTTAAAGAAGTCGAAGAGTAGTGAGCTACACGGGTTCTGGCCTAGTTGCCGAGGTCGGTAAGGTAGATTTCTTAATAGCCAACATCTGAGTTCCGGCTGCCACCGAGAGATGGCGCCACATGTGAATTCAAAACACCTTGGCGGGATATTTAATTTTTTTTAAACTTTCAAGTGGGTTAGAAGGGATAATTTTAAATTTCGCGCCACTAAGTGTAAGTTGATTGGTGCTCTACTTAACCGACTTTGATGATAATGCTCCTATAAAAATGCTAGCAAATTACCGACTGTAGGCAAGTTACCGACCGATGACAAGTGTTACCATCAGTCGGTAATGCAGATTTCTTCCACAATTTTTAATTGGGTCGATATGTCAGAGTTCTGCATTACCGATTGATGACCCACTTGATTGAGAGTTGCGCAGTAGAGAGGTGAGTATAGTGGGGACTGGGATATAAGTTACGCAGCGCGGGACACAAACATCAGTTGCATCTTGAATGGTGCAGCAGTCTACTTTCAGGTTTTCAGGGTTCCAGAGATTCTTTACAGAGTTTTCAGAGTTGATTTTCAGAGACAATTTTTAGAGTTTTTTTTCGTTTTGAATTTAGGAGTTATTGATTTTTCATTATAGGTTTTTTTTAATTTTTGTGTTCTAGTTTGCATTAGTTTTAAGTTAGTGGTGGTTTTTTTCTATTTTAGGGTTTTTTTGTTCTATTTTGTATTAGTTTTAAGGTGGTGGTGGTGATTTTTTCTATTTCAGGATTTTTTTAGTTTTATTTGTTTATTTTCATGATTTTTTTGTTTGTTTAAGTATTTTCAGGTTTTTCTTAGTTTTAGACGTATTTTTTAAAGTTTCTTTCAGATTTAGCTATCAAGATGCCAAAGTGCAAATCTTCAAAGAAGTCTCGTCAACGTATTGACATGGACGACTGCAATGAAATGTGTCAAGAATCTGACAACTTCATTACAACAGCGGAACGTCAGCTCATTTCAACGATGGCTATGACTAGCGATGATAAAATGGTTACAACATTTGAATGGCAGAACAAGTGTCAACGGTATATAAACATTTTGCGAAACTTTTTACGTAAGTCTGATTTTTCTTCATCTCAAAGATCTAGGTGCTTAAATTTAAGACAAAAAATGGAATACTTGCGCTGCCATTTTGATGCTCTAATGAAACGTGGTGCAGGTGTTGAAGTAGTGAATGAAGGAATGAAATGGGTGGATTTTGAAGAAGCGTTTGAGGGTCGTTTACAAAATAGTGCTGTAATGAATTTAGATTACAAGGATATTAATGAATTCCTTGATGATGCCTTTAGTTTATTTAAAGTTAACATTGAAAAAGCTTTAAACAGGTTTGGCCCGCTAAAAGATTACACTGTATTGTTCGCGAAATTTGTTAAAGATGCCATTGACGGTAGAACCCAAGAAATATCAGATTTAAAGACATTCATCGCGAAAACCGGTGAAATTTTATTTACAACCCCATTAGATGACTGGTACAATGTTTATGTTAAACAAGTAACCTTAAAAAGAATAGAGGAATTCCAAGAGAAAGATTCTAGTTGGAGACTTCATTCTATTGAAAGGTTGGAGGTTAACATTAACAAGTACAATCCTATGCGCGCAAGTTCTTATATCAATTTGCCAACTTCTATCAATCGAAAGCATGCCTGCATTAATGTCCAAAATCCTGATGAGGAGAATCCAGCTAAATGGTTTTCTTTAGGATTAAAGAACTTGGCTGATTATCTAGATTCCATATTCAAGAACCCAGTTCCCATGGAAACATTAAGTCCACAGCAGTTGGTAGCTTTTCGAAATGATATGACTTGTCATATTTGTAAAAAGAAAATTGCGTATGGGGATGTGAAAGTACGAGATCATTGCCATCTAACAGGGAAGTACCGCGGACCCGCTCATCAAGATTGTAATATTAATTACCATGAATCGCAGATCATACCTGTTGTTTTTACATAACCTAAGTGGCTATGATGCACATTCCATTATTTAAGCTATTGCTACAGAATTTGATGGTACTGTTAATCTACTTCCTATTAACAAAGAAAAGTACATTAGTTTTACTAAAAATGTAAAAGGTGGTTTTCTAAAATTTCGTTTTATTCATTCTTTCAAGATTATGGCATCATCTCTGGATAAGTTAGCATCCTATCTCGATAAATACAAAATTGTAAACTCAGTCTTTTCAAATTACAGCGACGATAAAATTCAATTGTTGACGCGAAAAGGAGTTTTTCCTTATGAATACATTGATTCAAGGGAAAAACTCAACGAAACAGAGTTACCGCCGAAACGCAATGTTAAAGTATACGGAAGTAAGACTTGAACTCTTGACAGACATTGACATGGTAATGTTTATTGAACGAGGAATAAGAGGTGGTGTAAGTCAATGTACAAATCGATATGCAAAAGCTAACAATCCTTACATGGAAAAATTTAATGAAAATGAGGACACGTCTTACAACGTATACTTTGACGCAAATAATCTATACGGTTGGACAATGGTTCAACCGCTTCCCTATGGTGGCTTCAAAAGGGTAGAGAATGTTGATAATAGTTTTGACTTTGATGTGTTAGACGATGCGCCTACAGGTTACATTTTGGAAGTTGATTTGGATTATCCAGATCACCTTCACAATAAACACAGCGATTTTCCATTTTGTCCAGAACGCTCGAAGCCACCAGGGTCAAAAGAGGAAAAGCTCCTAACTACCCTCCTATCGAAACGATAGCACGTTCTCCATTATCGTGCCTTAAAACAAGCTATTGCCAACGGTCTCGTGTTAGTTAAAATTTATCGCGTCTTAAAATTCAAACAATCCACATGGTTGAAAAGTTACATTGACTTTAATACCACGCAAAGAACAAACGCCAGTAATGAATTTGAAAAAAACTTGTTTAAATTGATGAACAACGCGGTATTTGTCAAAACAATAAAGAACGTGCGAAAACATGTTGAAATTAAACTTGTTACAAAGTGGGAGGGTAGATATGGATCTGAAGCCCTAATAGCAAAGCCTAACTTCCACAGCAGAGCCATCTTTAATGAGAATTTGGTTGCTGTGGAACTTAGGAAAATGGAGGTACTAATGAACAAGCCGGTGTATGTTGGCTTGACTGTTTTGGTTGTGTCAAAAACGCTTATTTATGATTTTCACTACGATTACATGTTAAACAAGTATGATGAAAAAAATTGAAATTATTGTACAACGACACCGATAGCCTGATTTATGAAATTAAGTGCTCAGACATTTACTCTGATATAAGCAAGACATTATGAAATTCGACACTTCTGATTATCCGGTTAATAACGTGTACAATATTCCGCAAGCCAACAAAAAGATATTAGGTCTCATGAAGGATGAATGCTGCGAAAAAATTGTAACAGAATTTGTTGTCTTGCAGAGCAAAATGTACAGCGTCCGTGTAGAAGAGAAAGATTTTATAAAAAAGGCTAAAGGTGTCAAAGCAGGAGTTGTTAAGAAAAATATCGACTTTGATGATTATGTTTATTGTCTACGAAATATTAAAATGCAATCTAGAACGCAATATTCAATTAGGTCGAATCTTCACAAAGTACAAACATTAAAACAAACGAAAATTGCTTTAAGTCCTTGTGACGACAAGAGATACTTAATAGAAAACAGCACCGACACCCTCGCATTAGGTCATTGTAACAATCTTGAAATTGATGACGATGAGGATAAACTAATGTAAAAAAAGAGAAGAGGAGGAGGAGGAAATGTGCGTTTGAATAAAAGATGTTTATTTTATTTTATGTCTACTTTATTTAAAAAACCTTAATCTAGTTACATTAACTTGTTATAATTTTTTTAACTACATTTAAACTTATTTTAACTATATTTTAACTTAACTTTAACTTATTTTAACTTTTTTAAACTTATTTTAACTAATTTTAACTTTACTTTAACATATTTCAACTTTTTTTAACGTTAATTTAACTATACTTTAACTTATTTTAACTTTACTTTAACATTACTTCAAATAAACTTTAACATTACTTTAACTATATTACATATCAGATTTTTTTATCCAACTATTGTGTGAGCTATCGAATCCAAGCCAAAAATAATCCTTTTCCAAAAATATTTTTAAACTTGCTAACTCGAACTCTGTCTCCAACTTTGAATTTTGATCTTTTTAGCGGAATTCTACGTAGTTTACGGATAGGGGAGACTGGGGTAAACCCGCGCACAGGGTAAACCCGCTCACCAGCGATTTAACGCGATGAACTCAACTTAAGATGGAGATATTGATACTGTGAATAGTACTTACCATTCAACTTATATTAACGAACTTTCGATTAGTTTCATGAATTCAACATAGAATCAGAGGCAATCAAATGTTTTTAGAGGTATCAGAAAAAAAACGTTTTTTGGATTTTTAAGTTTTTCGATCATTATTTTTGAGTCTTAATTTATTTGGCAAATTTTTTTTTGTTTCTATTGGATGTCCATTTTCGAAGTACATGTATAGTTTTATCTTATTTCAAAAAGATTCAATTAAATTTATTCTGAAATGTCAGGAATACACTCGGGGTAAAGTCGCTCACGTGAAGTCGGGGTACACCCGCTCACTTAGTTTTTAATTTAAAATTTAGAATAAAATAATTTCACGTATTATATTTCAACAATAACACAATTTATGACTTATTAAAACCAAAATTGTAACTACATTTGACTTTCTGTTAATAAAATATAACACTATTTAAATCCATAGTTGTAATTCATGAAATCTATGTTCATTATTTGAAGGGTGGCATGACAAAAGGGGTCAAGCAACAATTTTTCGAAATTGAGATTTTTTCATAAAAAAATCAAGTAAATTCATTTGCACAGTTCTGTAAAAGTATTTTTTTTGTAAATTGTTTTAAACTCGTTTTTAATAAAAATAAGAATGAAAAATAGCCTAAATTTTTACTTGCAATGCAATACGGTTAAAAACAAAAGAAATGAATATTTTTATGAATAGGTTAATATTGTTAAAAATATTGCTTTCTTTTTAATATAATTTAATATATATTAAATTTCGCTGAATTTTTTTTGTCTATTTAGAAATAGTTTTATTCTTTACCTAATTTTCAATAATTTAAATATTATTCTTCTGTTAATTTTTAAATATTCCTGTTTGTAGTTTGCTTTTGAAAATGTATGTACTGTTTACTTTCAAAAGTTAACATTTAATTAACAATTTTCTTGAAAACAAACAGTTTTTTTGAAGCAAACTTTTTTGCATTCAATTCGTTAATTCAATATTAAAAAACTAATTTTTCAGTTTTTCTTTAAACTGTATATTTTTTTAACAATTAATTTTATAAGAAAATATGCACATTTGACGTAACCCCAAAATGGTCCACTTTTACTTATTTTTCTCTCTAATATGTAGGTTTATCTTCATAAATTGTATTTCTACTGGTAAAGCGAAATAATATCTCTAAACTGTTTTTTTAGATCTTTCTTTAATGATCAGAAAAATTTTTAAATGTGTTATTTTCGATTCCTGTAAAAACATGAAATTGTTGCTTGACCCCTTTTGTCATGCCACCCTTCATTTATTAAACCAATTTGTTGTTTATAGAAATGTTTATATAACTCATAAATTATCAATAATAAATCATACTTAAGACGGGAATAAGACGAATTTTAATATTTAAAAAATAAAACTGTTCCGTCTTGAAAAGATTAAGTGAGCGGGTTTACCCTGGAAAATTGTGATTTCGAAATTTGGTATATGTGTATTAAAAGGTTTCTCTAAGTAAAACTAAAAAAGATAAATCAAAAACTCTTTTTTATTTTTTTAGTAGAAATCATAAGCTTTCAAATGATATAAATTAACTTGGATTTAGAGAATAATTTCCTAGATTTTTACCGATCTGAAAAAAAGTGAGCGGGTTTACCCCAGTCTCCCCTACGTCTCAGCAGTTCTCTTGTGTCTTCTCCGGTGACATCTTTGGGTTTCATACCAATAGTACGATGCTTTTTATTATTGTACTTTGACATGAGAGTTGGTAAAAGATTAATCCATTTATAATTGCCTTGCAAGCTGAATTCGGGCCTCATCATATGTTTTAGAGTGCGGTTAAATCCTTCAACAATTGAGGCTTTCAAATTACTATAGGTAGAATAGAGACTAATATTAAATTCTTGCATTAAACTCTTAAATTCAGAATTGTAATATTCTTTGCCTCTATCAGTATGCAAATTTTTTAGAATTCGGCCTTGTTTGAGAATAGTTTTCATGGCCAAAGAAATATCCTTTTCATTCTTACTCTTAACAGCCCAGGCATATTGGGAGAATATGTCTATAACTGTGAGCATGTATTTGAAACCTTTATTAGAATAAGAATAAGGTATCATTTCAACCAAATCTGCTTGCCAGATTTCATCTTCACCACGCATTTAAACTTTTCGACGAGGATAATTTCTTCTACAATAGATGTAGTCTGGGTTAGATTGTTTCTTTGAAATTATAAATTGAGGTAATTTCTTTCCAAGCTTCTTCTTCTTCAAAACACCACTACCCTTTTTTGGCGTACCCTTAAAAAGTTTTAAAATGACATCAGTGTATTTAGAACTCCTGGTTACGTTGACAAGACCACTGGAACTATAATTTTTTCGGTGTGCATTTGTAGCTACAAGAATTTCTTTATAATTTTCCAAATCATCTGAACTTATTAATGCATGATTAGGTTCTTGTCGACATAAAAGTTCAAGCAACCCACCAGTTTTTAAATATTTTTTCTTTCCAGCAGGTTGAATATGTGAACCTTCTAAATCAACTGGTGTATCACCAATTATATAAGAACCATTAGGAAGCTTACGTACTCCATAAACCATGTCTAAAAAACTTTTCCTGTTTTTATTCAATAATTGAATAAATTTATTTGTCAAATTTTCATAATTAAGTTCTTCTCCTTCTTCTTCAAACTTGTTGCTCTTATCAAGTAGAGTGTCATTGAGTAGTGTTTTATCAAATTCCTCTTTCTCATCAACAGCAGTAGAGAAAGAAAAGTCATTTTCCTCCTTTTTAACTTTTTCAATATTTTTGAAAGGTATGTCAGTTATGTTCACAAACTTTTCCAGAGGTGTTAATATTGGTTAAAAAGTTTCTTTCAATACTGTTTCTGCAGCCTCTTTACCCATTTTGAGTAAACGATGTTTCCGCTTAATAGCATCACTTGCTTTTGCTATTTAAAGAAGCGTTTCTTGCTCTTTTCGATACATGTTTTCTTCGAGACAATATAAACTATACTATTTAAAAATTCAATGAACTTCTTGTATTTATAGTGAAATGAAGCAATCAAATCCTCTTCTATATCTTCCCTCATTAAAATTACGGTCCTTATCAATAACAACAAATCCATATTTATCAGATTTCCAACATTCTGAACATAAATCACGAAATTGAGTATAACTAATATCTGTATTAACATGATCTTCGTATACATGTTTTAAATTTTTTTTATTTTGTCTAAATAGAACCAATAAATTAACAGTATCTCGAACAAGATGTTTGGGAATACTAGCATACGTTTGACATAAATAGAAACTGTCAACGTTTACATGTCTGCCCATACAAAAGAAAGCTCTAACATTATCTTGCTTTTCACAAGCAATGTCATCAAAAACAGATATTGAATTTGCTTTAGCATCTTTTGGAGATACTACTTCTTCATGTTCACTAAATGGAAAATACTCAACACCATCTACCTGACTGATTACATTTTCTAAAAATTTATATTTCGGTTGCTGTAGAGATTTAGAGTAGGGGTAAATATTTTCAAAACTTAGACCATTTGGATGTATTATTAGGGAAATAAGAGCATTTGTTTTACCACAATTTGAGGAGCCACAGAAAACTGCTCGAATGCTGTCTGAAAACAGACTACCGTGACGTTTAATCTTTTTTTCATTAGTTTCAACATCTATACTAAAGATTTGCAGTCCGACAGGTTGTTTCGTGAACTGCATCTTGAAAGTAACTGACCTAAAAGCTATAAATACCTAGCTTTTATAGTCAATTTGTCAGTTTCACGTCAACCATTGTAGAGTGAAGTATGATTCTGCATCAGGAGGTGAAAAAGGTCGCTATCAAGGAAAAGGTTTAATTAATCGTATCATCAATAGTTTATCGTATGAGTTACATTTACCAGGATACTAATTCTGTGGGCCTGGTACAAAGTTGGCTAAGCGTTTGTCTCGAGGTGACCAAGGAATTAATCCACTGGACGCTGCATGTAAACAACACGACATTGATTATTCGCAAAATCGTGAAAATATTCAAGCTAGAAACGAAGCAGATAAAGTATTAGCTAAGAGAGCTTGGGAACGTGTTACAGCTAAAGATTATAGTGTGAGTAAAAAAGCCGCTGCTTTAGCTATATCCGGATTCATGAAAACTAAATCAAAGTTAGGCATGGGAATAAGAAGAAGAAGAAGAAAATCATCTATAAAAAAGAAGAGTAAAAACATGTGTAAAAATAAACGAGTAGCGTTAAGAAAAATTGTTGATGCTGCACGAAAATGTATGGCTCCTGGTAATAATGCTGAAGAATCAATTCGAGCAGCTATAGTTGGTGCACGAAAAGCAATAAAAAATGTTGGTGGTAAATCCAAAATTTTATCACCTAGAATTCTTCCTGTACCTACTAAAGTAGGTGGAATTTTACCGCTAGTTCCAATTTTTGCTGGACTTAGTGCTTTAGGAGCACTTGCTGGAGGTGCTTCAGGAATCGCAAGGGCTGTTATTAAGGCTAAAACAGCTAGTGAACAGCTTGCAGAAGCTCAACGTCACAATAGATCCATGGAAGCCATATCGCTTGGAAAGGGATTACACCTTAAACCGTATCGACAAGGACTTGGTCTCCACTTGAAACCCTACATTTAAGGAAAAGGAATTAAAAAACAATCATCAAGAAAGAAAAAGAAGAAACGAGCATCAAGAAAAAAGAGAACAACATTAAGGAAAACAAAAAACTTGTTTTGAAGCTACCTCACCGACCATTAACTGACTTTGATTTGTTAAAATATGCCAAAGCTGTCAAAATACCCCATTTTCGTGGTATTTTTATGCGAAATGAACTACCTGTTAGTGGTCCTCACCAGTGTGAATCAGGAATAATTAATCTTGATAATAAAGAAGGTGCTGGAACACATTGGGTAGCATATAAAAATTCAAAAACGAAACAATGCATTTTGATAGTTTTGGCAACCTTGCTCCACCAACAGATCTTGTCATTAACTTGGGTAATGGTAGCTTAATAAAATATAATCATAATAGATATCAAAATTATAATACATTTGTATGTGGACACTTGTGTCTCAAATTTTTGTGTAATGAACTAAATATTAAGAGTTGTTTTAACCTTTATAAGACTATGTAACACCTGTAAGCTTTCTGTATAAAATCTGACAGCAACATGAGTGATTCGTTTACTTTAACGTTAACAGGAAATTCTTTAGTTCTGAGAGCTGAATATTTTCCTCCAATAGAACTAAATTCAAATAAAAGTTATGTACTTGGTCTTGTTGAACTATTGACTTTTAAATCAATTCCCAATATTGATAAAGGAAATAACAAATTTTTCATTGGAAATCAAGTAATTAATATTCCAACTGGAAGTTATGAAATTAAAGATATTGAATTATATTTACAAAATTCTGTAAAAACTGGAACTGTAATTACTATAAAACCTAATAATAATACATTACGCAGTATTGTTGAATCTAATTTACCAATTGATTTTAAGCCTAAAGATTCGATTGGTAAATTGTTGGAATTTACATCACAGAAACTATCATCTCATAGAGCACATACTTCTGATTTACCTGTAGCCATTGTAAAGGTTAATTCAGTTAGAATTGAGTGTAATATAACATCTGGAGCGTATATAAATAACCAAAAAGTTCACACTATCCATGAATTCTTTCCCAGCGTTCCACCAGGATATAAGATTGTGGAAGTGCCTGCACACGTCATTTACCTTTGGATTGATACCAAAACAATAAATAATATACAACTGCAAATTGTCGATCAGGACGGTGATTTAATAAATTATAGAGGTGAAACTATAACAATTCGATTGCATATAAAATCTTTGTAATGGGAATCGTTTATAACCAAAGAGCTGTTGTTGGTGGAAACTATAAAAGTCAGACAACATGCAAGAGTCAGATCAGTCTAAATTTATCTCACAAGGTGTGAACACCTCAGAATCGCCTCTTTCTGCAAGAACTAGGTCTAAAAGTTCAAGGAAAGAAAATAAAACAAGACAATTAATTTACATATTTTTTGGTTGCTGTTGCAATAAAAATGGACGAACTTCTCAATATTCCAGCAGCAGTGAATTTCGATGAGTCAATAGCTCATTATAAAATTCATGCTCATCAACCATACGCATCTTCATTTTTTAACAATAGCGATGAAATTTAAATCGCAGTACAACATCAAGACTTGTGCATTTTACCTAGTAAAAGTTCATTACACATTTTTGGCAGATTAACTAAAAATGATAGAATTACTTTTACACAAAACGTGCATTTAAATAATAATGCTGTATGTTTTTTGTTTGATGAAATTCGCTATGAACTAAATGGTATTGAAATTGATCGCTGCAAATACGTTGGACATACTACAATCATGAAAAATTACACCTGCCAAACATCAAATCAGCTAAATTTTATTGAAAATGCTAGATATTCCAAAATTGCAGCTGATGCAAGACTTACTTTGGAAAATGGTTATTTTGATGTCACAATACCACTCAGCATGATTTTTGGTTTTGCTGAAGATTATAAAAAAACCATTATGAGATATTTTCCAAAAAACTTCCTAACATATTAATGAACATTTTTGTCGCTGAAAGTTTTCCAAAAACGAAAATTCGTCACTCAACTTTTTCAATTGAAAATAGGAGAATTATTTTTCCGACAAAATTATTTAAATAATTATTTACCTTGACATACAATTTTTTTTACAATTTCCAAATATTGTTTCACTCTTGGAATAGTTTGAAGAATATTCTGTGTAAATTTCGTGGAAAAATATTAATATTTAAAAAAGTAGTCACGAGTTGAAGTCAAAAATTCATTAAAATTTCTTAACTTAAAAAATCACGTTTTTTTCAATTTACGTGAAAACGAGAAATTATATAAAAAAATTTTATTAGAAAAAAAGTTTCGCCTTGAAATTTTGTACAAGAAACAATAATTTAAAATTCATTTTGAACAACTTCAAAATTTTATCTCCAGGGGCCAACTTATTTGCCGTGTGTTCGCGCGTGTGCCCTTTTAAGATCCGGAGCCCCAATTGTGAATCTTTTTTGTAAAATTTAGTTATTAAGTTTTCAAAAATAAATGTTATTAATTCAAAATTGAAAACAATGGTTCTTAATTCCAAA